TTCATCAGACCCAACCATCTGAAGCAGTTTGACTCCAGTAATACCATTATCACCCAACATAATGAACTCTACTTTGAGATTGTGCAAGAGTGCCATCAATAAACAGCAAATGCTGACAGCCACTCAATCCTTTGCCTCCTGTCTCAGTCCTGCCACTGCTTCTTCTGACCTAGAGGCCAAAGTCATGGACCATTCACTCCTGTGTGAAGCAGGCTCTGGAATCTGCAGAGATGACACTAAGATCCCAGTTGCCTTTGACACTGATATCAGAAGATTATGAACCAAAGGTACTCTCCTTCTGTATTCAGCTGGAAGGAAATCTGGAGGGATAGCCTACATTTCCACTGGGAACTGCTCTCTAGGCTATGGGGGCTGCTATATTGGGCCTTCCCTCCACACAGACACTTGTCTAAAGCCCAGACACCATAGCACTATCCCTAAATCTACATGCCTGCCTTCCTGGAACCCTATGCCCATGACACAGAAGAAATCAAATTCAGCCTCAGGAGAGAAACATGCTGCAAACTAACCAGGGAATCACCTGCCCTGGAAGCTTCTCTTGGTCAAATCCATGTAGTCCTGTTGACAGGCTCCCCAGAAGCATGCAGACCTTTAACCCTGACTCATGACCACTGAGTCCTAGGAGTACTGAGTGTTCAGATTGGTATATTTTATTTCTACTTCTGTTCCAGAAAAATGTAAGTCTTACCACTTACTAAAGGCTCCTTATTTACTTACTAATAGGTAATTGATGTTGTTTTTACAGGCCCTCATAAATATTTGGTTCCCTTGTTCAACAGTAGACAGAATGAAGAGAGAACAGAGGATGGAGGAGTGCTGCAGGGAGGGGAAGACAGAGCTCTGATTCTGAGCTGTGCTGTTGACTTGACATCAGAGCCTTAGAGAAGATCTCCTTTGGTGGACAGAGGTGTGGAAAGTATCCAGAGAGACCAGGTGTTGGCCTCAAACAAATCTATCCAAGTATAGGAAAGAATGTGCAGGACAGCAGGAGTTCATTAGGTGAGAAGTGTGTCTCTTTGGACAGTATTTTTATTCTGCATCTATATAAGGATGGGCCAAGAGTCTCCAGTTTCTAAAACCTTTACACAACTGTGCCTATCCAGCACAGCCTCTCCCAGTCACTGGCCTCTCTCAGACTGGTGTCACTCAGGTACAGTTTAATACCCAGCAGGGAAAGGAGGTCCTGGAAGGCAGGGGGAGACCCCTCTAACCTGGGTGTGTGTTGGGGGGAGCTCCCTGCCATACCCAGGGTAGAGGGGACTTCCCCCTCCAGGGGAAAGAACCCCCTGACATGGGTATTGGGGAGAACTCCCTAACTCACCCAGGGTAGAGGGGACTTGGCTCTCAGAGAAAAAAAACAACCCTGACCTGGGTGATGGGTGAACCTCCCCATCACACTCAGAGTACAGATGACTCTCCCCTCCTGGTGGGAGAACTCCCTGACGTGGGTGTCAGGCAGAGCTCCCCACCACACCCAGGGTAGAGGGGACTCTCCCCTCCAGGGGAAAGAACCTCCTGACATGGGTGTCCGAAGGAGCCACCTACCGCACCCAAGGTACAGGGGACACCCCACTCCAGGGGGGAAAACTGCTGGCCTGTGTGTAGGGGGAACTCCCACACCTTGCACCCAGGGTACAGGGGAATCCACCCTTCAGTGGGCAGACACCTCTGAACTGAATTTCAAGGGTAACTCATCTACCATCTTGCTCAAGGTAGAGGGGAATCCACCCTGAAGGGAGAAGTCATCTCTAATCTGGGTTTTGGGGGGAGCTCTCCATCAAACACAGGAAAGAAGGAACTCCCCCCTCAAAGTGGGAGACACCTGGGTGTCTTGGGGAGCTAGTGTACCTTCGACACAGGGTAGAGGGGACTCTCCACTGCAGAGGGGACAACCTTTTATCCTGGGTTTTGGGAGCTCCCATCACACCCAGGGTAGAAGGAATGCCCCCTCCAGGGGTGAGCTGGTTTACCATTGCACCCAGGGTAGAGATACTCCTTCCTCCAGGGGAAAGACCCCTCTAAACTGGGTGTCAGGGAGAGCCCCCACCGCATCCAGGGTAGAGGGGACTCTTCCTTCCAGGG